TTTCTAAATTTTCTGCTGACGGCTATTCATTAAAGCTATAACCTGTTAATAGAAATTAATTTAATGAATCTAAGCCAAAAATATTATATTTTTATAGCAAACTGAAAAGTTGCTCAAATTCTTGTGGATAATCAAATAATACTTTTTTGTTTTCTTCAGAATAAGTTTTTTGGTTATTATTTATTGCATTTAACTCTTCAAAATAAGTTTTTTGTGCATTATTTATTTTACTTGACTTTTCACTTAACTCTTCAGAATAAGTTTTTTTAGCATTATTTCTTTCACTTGGTTCTTCATAATAATTTTTTTTGATATTATATATTTTTTTTTACTTAACTCTTTTGATATAAAGCTATCCAAAGAAACATTAAATATTTTTTCCAATTTGTTAGTTAATGATTCTTCATTATTTTCAATAGAACTGAATAATAAAATTTTCTCAGTATTTAAAATCTGATTCAATCTTTTCTTCTTAGAAGCACCTTTTGTTTTTTTATTAAATGATTTTTCTTATATATATATTTATCTTTATTCTGTTTTTGGTAATCTAATTTGATTTTTTTAGCTTGTTGTTAATACTCTTCTCTGAGTTCTGAACTTAATTTACTCTACAAATATCTAATTAAACTTGAAACTTGATTATTGCTTAAATGACTATACTTAGCTTTAACCATATGGCATATTTGACTTCAAAATATAATAAAGCTATTTGGAGGTTTTTTTACTGTTTTTTTATTATAAGGTGTGTTTGCTGCAGTATTTAAAATATATGCTAGGATTTTTATATTTAATTCTAGCAATTCCTTAATCATATTTTTCGAATTCACATTCTTATTATTTCGAACTAAAATCAGTGAATAACTAGTTAGAATGAAAACAGTTATTCTATTAACTCTATTGCTACTTTTAATATTAGAATATAGATTTGGTTCTTCAATTAGAATAAAATTATTAAAATTCATAATTATTATTTTTTTTTTTATTTTTTTTTTTTTTACCTTCGCAATATCACGAGAAGGCAGATTTTATTAGGTATTTAGATAATATATTCTTGGTTACCCTATCCTGTACTATCCACCACAATCACGCCATCTCATAACCTCGTGCTGCTTCATAACCTATAGCAGAAGTGTTCTTCGGCTGTTTTGTTCTTACCGGTTTTTTCTAACATTTTAACTATACTATAGATCTAAACTGAAGACCACCCAGATCGATATCTGCTATACTACTTGTACCCTAATTCTATAGATAACCCAGTAGGGTTC